CACCCTCAAACACCCATATATACTATTACACTAAAACACCCAACCCCCACCGACACACATTAATACACTAAAAAATAAATACACACACACACACACTAATACACTAAAACACGTGCATGAGCACATACACTAATCCATCAAAACACACATACACTCACACACACCCACAAAAACACACACTACTACATCAGCACACACATACACACACACCCCCACACACTAATACAAATACACACACTCACACACTAATATATTGATTCTTAATATTGTGTGCGTATATTTTTGTGTATTATGGAGTATTAGCATGTGCTTACGTGTGTTGGTATGTTAGTATGTGTGTATTTTTGGTGTATAAGTGTGTAGGAGGTGTGTATGTGTGTGTGATTTGGTGTATTGGTTGGTGTGTATAAGTTTCAGTGTGTGTGTATGTGTGTGTTTTAGTGTATTTCGTGTGCGTGTGTTTTTTGTTGAGTTTATATGTGTGTGTGTGTAGGGTGCATTAGTGCGTGTGTATTTTTTGGTATATAAATATACGTGTTTTGGTGTATTAGTATGTATGGGGGTGTTTGTTGGTGTATTCGTGTGTGTGCATTTTTTTTTAAAAGTACTTTTTAAAATATATTTATCAAACATGCTTTTACTTTCAAGAAAAAACAAAATTTTGGCAAATTTTTTTTGCTTTAAAAAAGTACCAGAGCATGGATTTACATACCGAAGGGAGCATGCATTTTGATTAAAACATTTTCCAGCAACCATTTCCCATTATAACCATTTAGTTTGGTGGAAAAGTGAGGATCGGAAATAGAAGGAAAAAAAGGAGGGAAAGAAACCATTTCCCTCTTAAGCTTGCCAATTTTTTTTCCCTCAATTTTGGGTGGAAAATAGGCAAAAGACCATGCTGTCAACATATAATGGTAAATTAAGTTTGTGTTTTCCTTTTCCCTTTCCCCTTAATACCAAACAATGAAAAAAGTTCATTATTCCAACTTTTCCACCCATCTTACCAAAAATAAAAAAAATAAAATTGTAGAGAGAAATCTATTTCCTCTAGGAATGGAAAATCATTTCATCCTATTTTTGGACGTAAATCTTTTACTTTTCCTCCCATCTTACCAAAAAGTCTGCTTGGACGTAAATCTTTCACCACATGGCTTCTAAACACCCCTCTAAGCTATGTTTACTTTACTCTCAGGGATACAACTACTCTTCAGGTGTTTGGCAATTCGAAGGATATGGCTATGTTCCATTCGGTACAACAGGTGTTTGCATAATGCAAGTCTTTGGAGCAACTCCTCCTCGCGCCACGACTCTAATGGTTAGAGTATACAACGGTTCCCTCATGTACTACCAGAGCATGGTCTTGGTTCCATACATCTAGATAGGTGGTTCCGGCTAAACGTTATCCATGATGCCGATGCCGCCAAGGTGAAGGTATTTATCAATGGATATCTTAAGTTGGCGGCGGATGGTCGTGGGGGGACATCTCATGCCTTTAAATGTGGTGTATATGCCCAGAATAACGATTCATACTACATGGAATCTCGTTGGAAAAACATCAACATTCTAAGAAAATGTGACTGATTTTATACACATTTTGCGTGTTATAACACTAGGATGCTGTGAATAAGAACATATGATGTCTTTAATATGCTATGCACACTTTATTTTTGTTTATGCACAAAGCCTAACTATACTATATGGAGGAATACGACACATTAATGTATATGCAAGAACACCATTGGATGGTGAACCACATAATGGTAATGGCATAGTGTCACCATTATATTGAATATTTATACCATGACTTGGGCGTATCAAAAACTCTCAACCTAGAAATTTCGGTGGCTTTTTGCAAATACATCCTAGGAATATGCCTTTCAGGTGATCAATTTTTGATCCAAATCTCTGCGGATTAATCGATTATCAATTGATGCTTTTAGTTTTTAATCGGTTATTGATTGTTGGTAAATTGGGTTCTAACAAATTAAACCTAGAATAAAATCAAGACTTTGAGTCGCATAAGATCACTTTCTTTAAAGTGATATTTGCCCCATTCGAAGAATTTGTTAGATGGTTCTTGACAAATCACTTCCAACATACAACAAAGTCTATGGGTGAAGAACTGCATATAGTAATATAGAAAAACTTCCAAAGAAATATTCTTGAACAATTTTAATTCCGAGAGAAAGAGCGAGAGAGAGAGAGAGAGAGAGAGAGAGACGAGTTATACAAAACTCTAGTGTGTTTTGTGAATGAAGTCTAAGACGCTATTTATAGACTTCTTGGTGTCTTTTCCGAAAAGTCTCTACCCTCCAAATAGGTGCCTTTTTTTAAAAGTCACAACCTTTCAAATATGTGTCTTTTCTTAAAAGTCATGACCCTTATCTATCTATCTATCTATCTATCTATCTATCTATATATATATTCAAAAGTCACAACCTTTTAAATTTGTGTCTTTTCCTAAAAGTTATGACCCTTCCAAATATGTGTTTTTTCTTAATAGTCACAACTATTCAAATAATAGCTTTTCTAATTGCCATAATTACTCAAAATAAATCAATTATTCAATCAAGCTATAAATAAAATCTTAACAATCCCGCACTTTGATTTTATAATTGTGAACATCTCTCAATCAGAATATGTCATTTTGAATACAAGGAGGTGTTTTTCAACTTAAACCTTCAATTAGTATAATTACATAAAAGTTTTATCAAAGTCATTAGTTGCCTTAGCATCAAACCAAGTATTTTATGCAAAAAAATTGGAAGTACCATACACAAACTAACATCATGTTCATATAGATTTCAACATATGTCGCTCAATACTATTATGACCATATGTGCTAATCCTAGGTTCATGAATATTTACAAGAATAAACCCTAAACACTTGCTAGAAGCAACACTATTTCTATATTCATATAGGTGGAATCCTTTTACTATTATTGTCCCTGTTATATATGCAATTGAAAATTATAATTCCATTAAGAGTGCTTACTCATCCTCTATTTATCGTAACAGTTAGCACTAAATTCCAATTGAGACATAATATAAGTTTTATTGATTTCTCAATCATGTAACACTAACTTGTTTTACCCTTTAAACGTTGGAACTAGTTTTTGCTAGAATAAGGTTGGATTATCATTATTGGAAACTATAAAGAAAAAAGGGTTTTAGTCCCATTTGAGGTTAAAATAAAATTTACTTTGAAGCTAGTGTTGTTCATAGAGGGGGAATCTGATATGGAATTTACCTCATGATTATACACGTGGAGATCAAGACAATATACTTAGAGCATGGTAGACCTGTCGGTGCAAAAAATATTGTCCCTAGAAAGAAGAGAGGACAAGAAAGAGTAAATAAAGAAGTTAATGCTCCCTAAGAGAATAACAAATTAAAAGTTTGTATGCCTGAAGCGATCATCCCACAAAACAATTACCTCCTATAGAGACTTAGTTATCTCCTAAAAAGTTTCAAATACCTTTGGATAAGGCTCAAGTACCTAAAAATGATAAGGTCTCTACAAACTACGTGCATAATGAAAAAAGATGAGATCGAAATAAAGGTTTTATGGATGACATATTTTCATTTGTTGTTGCTCTTGATATTTCCAGAAATGGTGAGGAGCCTAAATCAAAATTGTCGATGAATGCCGACAGAGAAATGATTGACCATAATAGAAAGAAGCGATTTCAACAGAGTTAAGCTCACTAACAAAATACAGTGTATTTGGACCTATAGTCTAAATGCCACCAGGTGTTGAACGCGTTGGGTATAAATGAGTGTTCATGGGAAAATGAAATGAAAAAAATAAAATTGTATGGTATAAGACACAACTTGTGGCACAGGGTTTGTCACATAAACCTAGTATTGATTACGTGGAGACGTATTCTCCTGTAATGGATGTTATCACTTTCAGATTTTTGATAGGCCTTTTAGTATCTAGAAGGCTGGATTTGCATAGTCCTAAATGTTGTATTCCATTAAACTTCAAAGATCGTTGTATGAATTAAAATAATCAGGGCGAATGTGGGATAATCATCTTAGTGAATATTTCTTGAAAGAGGGATATGTCAATGATTTGATATGTTCGTGTATTTTTATTAAAAGATCTAATAGTGGATTTTTTTATTATTAATGTGTATGTTGAAGACTTAAATTTAGTAGACACTCCAGAAAAACTCACAAAAGCTGCCAACGATTTAAAAAGTGAGCTTGAGATGAAAGATCTTGGGCAAACAATATTTTGCCTTGGTTTGTAGATTGAACATTTATCCAATGAAGTTTTTGTGCATTAATCAATATACACAAAAAAGATCTTGAAACAATTCTATATGGATACATCACATCCATTGAGTTCACCAATAGTTGTCAGATCATTAGATACAAAGAATAATCAATTTTGTCTTGAAGAAGAAGGTGAAACACTTATTGGTCTAGAAGTACCATATCTTAGTGCAATTGGTATACTAATGTATTTAACAAATTGTATGAGGCTAGATATATCATTTGCAGTTAAACTCACTGGCAAGATATTACTCAGCACCAACTTCAAGGCATTGTAATGAGATCATGCATGTATTACAATATCTTTGTGGGACCGCGAACATGGAGTTATTCCACGTGAATGATCAAAGTCCGCAGTTAGTTCAATATGCAGATGCCGGTTATTTTTCTAATCCACACAAGGCTCGATCACAAACTGGATATATGCTTACTTATGGTGGTACGACTACATCATGAAAATTGGTTAAGCAAACAATGGTTGCTACATCATCCAATCACTCTGAAATATTAGGCATCCATGAAGTAAGTCAAGAATATATTTGGCTAAGATTCATGATCCAACATATTCAAGATCAAAGTGAACTGTCTTCAATCAAAGGCATTCCAACAATATTATATGAGGACAATACAACTTATATCACATAGCTCAAGGAAAGATATATTAAAGACGAAAGACCAAAAATACATCACCAAAATTCTTTTACACACATGAGTTGGGGAAGAATGGTGATATTAATGTTCAACAAATTCGTTTGACTGAAAATCTGGCAGATTTGTTCACTAAAGCACTCCCTCCGACTACATTTCAGAAATTGGTGAACCAAATCAAAATGGGGCGTCTTAAAGATTATAAATATGAACAATAATCATTTTAAATGGATGCCTTCAACAGGAGGAGGCCTGTACTCTTTTTTCCTTCGTTAAGGTTTTTTTCCACTGGGTTTTACTTAGTAAGGTTTTTAACGAGGTAATACTTAGGATCCCAACAATTTTATCAAAATCAGATTTTCGACCCTAGCATTATATAAATAGTCATCCAAAGGGGAGTGTTGTAAATACTATTAAATTGACTGGTTAGTATACATAAGTAGTTAAAAATATTACGTGGACATGACCACACAATGCAAAAATAATTTCCACATTTATTAGGGTAGTTGGAGAGTTGGATTTCCAACTATATGTCACCTTCTTCTTTGCCTATAAAAAGGCACTTCTTATGTTCAATGAAGAACACATAATAATATAGAAAGAAGAGAGTTTAGAAACATTGCTCTCATATTGGTTTAGTATTCTTTGTTTTGTGTTCAATCAATTTAGTTATTTTACAACAAAGTTATATTTTTAAAGGTTAAGTTATAATTGTTTAAAGTAATTCATGATCAATCACAAGATATTCTGATTGATCATGAATAACTTCGATCAGTTGTAACTTCTCTTTTATGAGTTTCAAGTTGATCTTTAGGGATTGCAACTTGACATTTAGAGTGGCAATATTCGTAATCTGTCATAACATTTTGTGATCAATCATACCAGTGGTGACATGAGCTAGGGGGCCCTAGCCCGCCCTAAATTTTTTTTTACCTACGTATATTTTGTGTTTTTTTTTAATATCTTCAATTGTGCTCACCCTAATGACTTTAAATAAACAAAATTGGGTTCATTGGGAGAACAAATCTCTTGATTAATGGACTAGAATAGAGATGGTAGTGGACCAGGGAGGGTGCGGGGTGATTAGTCTCCACACCTGTACCTGCCACTGTGCCCACCCATAATAATTAATTTCTATGATTTTAAGAAAAAAATTTTAAAAAATCATAAAATCTCACAAATGGATTTGCAAGAAGGATGAAAACTCATTATATAACAAATGGATCAAATATAATAACTCAAAAAATAATATTTGTATAACAAATGCGTTTTTCACTTAATTATTTTATTTGTTATATATATATACACACACACACACACACTTATACTTCTAAGACTGATACCATAATAATTGTGCACATGGAAGCAAATATATAAATTTATTGGAAATATAACGTTTAGAAACTTAAATTACAAATTACAAATTAATTGGAAATTAACTTACAA